TTTTTAATAAAAAATTAAGCCTAATTCACCACATTTTTTTAATATGTTATCCAGCTCAATTCAACAATTGTTTATAATGTAATTAGGGTAAATTGCAGTTTTGATACCCAAACTAAAGTTCATTTCAGAATCAGTACTCGTTTTTTAACATTTGCAAAATCAGTACCCAAACTTTCATTATGTTAACAACGTTAGTACCCGGCCGTTAGATCTCCGTTAAATTTCCGTTAGTTGTTAACGAAAGTAGGCAAAATAGAAGGAAATTTGTATTTTTGTTATTAAAAAATTATTATTCCAATATATACTGCTTGAACTAGAAGAGAAACCATGTCTTCTCATTTTTCTCGATTTATTATATTTTTTTTCAAAAAATAAATCAATTTTATCCAAAAAAATTCTTATAAATAGTGGAGGCTGCATTTGTTTTGAAAAAAAAATGGTACAAATGTCTTATGCATATAGATTTCATCATGAGCCAAAAATAAAACAGATAAATTTCCTCCATTTTGCCTACTTCCGTTAACAACTAACGGAAATTTAACGGAGATCTAACGGCCGGGTACTAACGTTGCTAACAGAATGAAAATTAGGGTATTGATTTTGTAAATGTTAAAAAACGGGTACTGATTCCGAAATGAACTTTAGATTGGGTATCAAAACTGCAATTTACCCATGTAATTATTTGTTCAGTAGATAATTTTGGTCCAAATGTTTACATTTGCTAATAATTATAAAAAATTTGGCACACATTTTATTATTCTTTATTTGTTTGAGGGTACCGTTCAAGTTTAATCGCAGACAATTTTCTATCATGGTCTCATATACTATGACGATTAACAAGAGTCAAGACCAATCTCTCTCACACGTCCGCTTAGTCTTGAACAACCATGTTTTTAGTCATGAAAAGTTATACGTTGCTCTTCCTAGAGTTACGAATGAGAAGCGTTTGAAGATAATGATATGTGGTGATGGTGGGAAAACCATGAATGTTGTATACAAACAAATATGTTTTAATAAAATTTAGAATCATTTTCTTAATTCATATTTTTTTTATCAAAAATTGAATTATAGTTATGTATTTTTGTTTTTTTTTCATTTTTATATTATTATCTTTTCTACGTATTTTTCTCCGTGCAAATGCACGGGTTGATCACTAGTATATATATTTTGGAGCAACAAAGCATTAAATTATATTACCTAACATTTAATTATATTATCCCTCCAAAATTTGAGCATTTAATTATGTTATCCCTGCAAATTTTGAGCATTTAATTTTATTATCCCTCCAAAATTTTCAACATTAAATTATATTATCCCTCCAAAATTTTCAGCATTTAATTATCTATCTTATTATATTGAAACGGTTATCTTCTATTTTTTAATTAAATTACAACCTCAAATCATGCACTTTATTTGAATTATTGGACATAAAACGTGTAAGCATTGATATATAATCATTTTAGTTGCAAATAATAAAAAAATAATTTAAATTACAAAATTAGATATTTAAATTGAAATAAATATCAATCTCCAATCTGTTGTTGCTATTATACCTGTAAAATAACAGTAAATAAATTAACAAAGAAAAATATTCGCTATTATTATTAAATGTCATAATATTACTTTAAATAACGATTATTATAAGATGTTATATCATTAAACAAAAGCAACAAATAACAAAAAAATTAAAAAGAAAATTACCCAAATTTGTAATATACATCACATTATCATACCATCATGCTATAATCATACAATTAATTTTATATACACGTGGGTGGAGAAATCATGTCATTATATATATTTAATTTACTTTCTTTGTTCTAATGTCTTAAATAATGAATAAAAAACGTGTAAATTAATTCTTCATAATCTAATTTACTTTATGCCTAAAGCTGAAACATAATTCCTTTTTGTTTTTAAAATTTTTGCAAAAACACATAATATTCTTAAAAATTCAAAATATGCTATCAAACATCTCTGAATGTTGTATTCCAAATCTGCTATCAAACACATAATCATGGTATCCTATGCTATGACAATTAAGAGTCAAAACCAGTCTCTCTTACACGTCGGTTTAGTCTTGAAGAACCGTGTTTTCAGTCATGGACAGTTGTACGTGACTCTTTCTAGAGTCACAAATCGGAAGGGTTTGAAGATAATGATATGTGGTGATGGTGATTCCGACGATAGGAAAACTTGAATGTTGTATATAAAGAAGTGTTTAATAATATTAAGAATTATTTTCTTAATTCAAAATTTTTTAATTAAATCATGATTTTGTATTTTTTTTTTATATTCATAACTCTTCTAACTATTCTCCTCCGTGCAAATGCACGAGTTTGATTACTAGTAATTTTTCAACCTACATGCATACTTTTCAAGCTCAAGCTAAAATTTCATGTCTAAAAAAATATATATGATGTAAACAAGAAAAATGACAATTAAAAAAATAATTATACCTAATTAGCAACCTAACAATTAAGTGTGCCACAAAATGTCATCAATATGTTGGTACATTTAAAAATATTGACTTAAGAAAATAAAAACTTTTAAATATATAAGATATTAACCAAATGGATCACAATATTCTAATTCCCCGTCTTTACTCTTTAGTATCCCTGCTGTATCAGAGAACCACAATCCTCAAACTCAACTTCAATAGTCAACACTGTTGGGTTCTGTGAGGAACGTCAAACAACATGCACAGTATTGAACTTATCGAAATATATCCTAACGCAGCGGAATCTATAGTTAGGATATGGAAGTTTACCTTTTAAAATTTTTGCCGACTCTGAGACGATGTAGTGTACCGTTGATGAAGTTCATCTGAACACCACAATCTAATGGGCAGGTAGATTTGGCCTTCAATCGATTCTAATCGATAGGTTCCACGAAAGTTGATCACACGGTGCGCGGGTCTCGGTCGCGGGGTGCAGCGGCGGCTTGTGTGCGTCGGGTGCGGACAGCGTAC